TTAAATGCTTGGAACAGTTCATCGAAGTCACGAACAGACTTTAACGAAACTGTCCATTGATGACGCAGGGTTATGTGTGATGCCTCATGCCTTCCATTTCGGGGTTGTTTCTTTTGATTCTCGCTGGGACTGCTTATGTTGGATAGAGGTTGGGTACATACTGGGTTACGAGATTTGGAATACCTGAGGATCTCGAATACCTGAGGATTACTCGGAGAGCATATTTCGAGGGACGGAAATTCAACACCGTCAGAACGGGGTATATTTCAGCATTGAATCAGGGCGGACTGAAAATATTTGTGAACATAATATAGCGATGTTGCCAAACATATCTGCTGGCTGTTGTCCTCAGCGCTGCCTTTGCAGAACATTAGGCATGCCCGCAGTTCTCAACTTTAAAATAACCAACTCCAAAGCGCCACAAAATGCACATCACTGTCGTAAAAGGACGAGACGGGCGGAGGCCCTGCAAATCTTTGCTCAAAACACTTCGTCGTGCGGATTCTTCAACGAGCCTCGAACTGAACCATCCTATCCAAAATAGAGCAGTTAGCAACCGCACACGGACAGATCCTGACTTCCCGCAGAAGTAGAAAGACTCACCTCTTCGTCCTCTCCTTGTAGAGAACACGGTGACCGCAATCCTTGCAGCGAATCTGGTCGCCTCTCTTCAGGGAGACGCGCGCATTGCATTCGCCGCACAGATAGGAAACGACAGGCCCATCCATCGAGCCAGCGGCCATGCCCTCGGTGCCAAAGGCATTCTGGGCGCCGAGAGAGGGGACCTGATACGCTTCGCGGGACATGATGATCGAAGGTGGTCTGTATTCAAAAGTGACTGGTAGGCAAATAATATATCGCTGGCGAAGGTATCGCTTGAGTATAAACTGGGGGTGCGGGTGATTGAAGGCGAGTTGGAGAGAGTTCAGACTTGGATCTCTAGAGCACTTTTTCTGCCGAATGCTCTAGGCTGCTTTGTCATCACCGATGGAAGGTTCGGGGCTAATGAAGCTAGCCTAATAAAGACTAGAGCATATGTGCCTCAGGTATCTATCTGCCACATGTTTACTCCCTACATTTGCTTTTATTGTTTGCAATCGAAATATTGAGTTCAAGAGTTTGATCATGACCGTAGTGAAAACGCTATGGCGGCATGCTTTACCCTAATCTATACGTCTATGGAACTTCCTATAGCAACCTCATGCCTGACAAATCTTCTCAAATGCCAACAAACCTCACACGAGAAATCTATAATAAAAGGGTATCTCTCCAAATGCGTAGCGTGCAACCAGTGATGCAAAAAAGCGCTCCCCCAACAACAAATTGAAGGGGATAAATGATATATGCAAAAATGTTCTCAGACCGAATCAGACAGGGAGTGCGGTATCACCAACCACCTCCGATCTTTCCTGCCAACTCAACAACACGAGCAGTTTCGTTGGGCGCATTCTGCGTCTTACCCACGTCACTCTCCACTTCGCGATAGGACGTATACGCCAGCTGGGAAAGGGGTATATCAATCTTCTCTGACCAATACTTCAAGAACTCATGAAGCTCGGTATCCCTTGACAGGACGGAAACCGGCTCGGTCGTGACAGACCCCTCGCTATCCGAGTCCGCAGAGTAATACGCCTCATCTACCCGGGCAAGCCAGGCACGCTGCTCATGCGGCGTGGGTTTCAACGCAGCCACAGGAGCTTCAGTCGAAGTCATTTTTAGCGAGTTCGGAATAGCTTCCCGGGCATCTTCAATCCTAATCTGCCCACCTCCATTGGTACAGCCGCCAGGACAAGCCATGACTTCAGCATATGCATAATCAGCGCCTGTTCCAGCTGGGGTTGCGTTTCTTGACAAGGGCTGTCGTCGACTTGCACTTGAAGAGACTGCTTGCGGCTTGGCGCCTGGAAGCCTCGACACGCGTGCCGGTTTAAGCTTTCTGACAAGGTTTTGGATATTCCTGAAGCCATAATACCGAGCCGCCTTCAAAAGGGGCTCGTCCCCAGACGACATGAGCACATATTCCACAACATCGGCATTGCGCCCACGCTGCGTGACAATCTTGCTGCCGGGGTTTCTGGCTTGGAAGATTTTGAGGACGTGATGAAGATAGCCTCCAGATGTCCCCGATTCGACTGTTTGGCCTGACGAGCTCTTAGAGAACAAGAATGAGTCTAAGGCTTGGTCTGGAAATGGCGTGTAACATGACGCGGGCAATGCTTTGAGCGGCAAATTGGGTAGAGAAAGCCCCCTAGCAGAAGCTAAGGTTAGTAGCTCACGGGTGGTTATGACACAGTCAACGTCGCGGACGGGTGTTGTCTGTGACTCGGTGGAGGTTGAAGCCCATGCAATGTCGGTGAGCTCTTCCCGGCTGGCTTCCAGCTTCTTGTCGAAGCATGGCATGATAGCTAAATGCCATATCTGAGAAGGCGAGACCCCAAGCGCCTTGCTTAGCACTGACTTCAGAAATGTGCCGCTCAAAGCCTGAGGAGACTTGAGGCGGGATAAATGAGGAAGAATGAAAGGGTGTGTTTTCTCGGCATAACATATCCAGCCAGGGCAAGCGGATGAAAGGATTGGTCGCTTGGGAAGGCTGCCCGATTCAGTCGATGATAAAGAGCTGGTGACCTCGTCCGCTGTCAGAGCCAACACCGCTTCACGCATAATGTTCGTGTCCACAACCCATGTAAACCCATTTCCATGTTTTCCACCAGCTCTGAGACCGTGAGGGCCCATGAGAAATTGATCAATCATATATTTTGCCTCCCGCTCAGTGATTCCGTATGTGGCTGCCAAGCCCGCCCTGACTTGAGGACTGACACTAGCAACAAAGATGCGACCATCGCTGTCGGCTGATCCCACATTTTGTGCAGCTCTTTGATCGCTTCCGAAATCCAGCGGCAACTCAGGGTACGAATCAAGAGTGTTGAGAACCTCCGTATGTGATTGCAAGGATATCAACACCGCTTCCGCAGAGGTGACACATCCGGAGCATGCAAGGCAATCGGTCAATGAAATCTGAGCCGGGGGAAGGTTTTCCGGTTGAACTTTGTCTTCCTTTGTCACTTCATAGGGATTCTATAAAATTGGAAATGAGCGTTAGCCTATTGGCTGATAACGACAGTTGATTGGTAAGATAGCAAACATACCTCCGACTGGGATTCTTTCTGTGGTAGACTCTCAACGGGCTTGATGCAAGCAACTCCGGGAGAGATGAAATCGTTCAAATCGTCTGCAGAAAGAATTGCACTCATCGTGGCAGGGGCTTTTGGTCGAGCTCCCCGCTATGCGATAAGGATCAAGAAGGGCGCCACCCAAGAAGTATGGATCTCGCAGCGGTCCTCGAGCCCGTCTTCTTTGTTGTAGATGCAATACGACGGAAATAGCGACAAAGAAAACAGTAGTGAGGGGGTAGTGAACAGATTGACCGGAGAAGCGCTCTTTCAGAAGATAAAGAAAAGAAGCCGACAAAACCCACGTCCCTTTGATAGAAAAGTAGGCTGTTTAGTAAAGCCAATCTCGCTTTGTCATGCCGCCGAAAGTGGCGACTGACTTGATTTGCTGCTCCACCCCGCAATCGGCGCTGATAAGCTCACCGCCCGCGTTTTCAAAGAAGATTCCGCCTTGTTTATGCTCCTCGTTCAGGCGGTTCTGCCGTTTCTTTGTCTGGTGACCTCAGGCTCCAACAGGAGACGCTGGTTTGCTTTGCTCTGTTCTGCCAGGCTACAGGCTTGGGATTCGATCAAGAACAGCGAGAGTGATAGACATATATAGCTTAGGAGAAAGTCTCAGAATCCATAACATCTAGTTTCCTAACTTTCCGACTACTCCCTTGTGTATACTCTAAATTTCCTACCAATCATGACCGGTGCACCAGCGGATGGCTCTAAGCAGCCAGCAACTGTCAAAGCACAGAAACGGCGCGCAGAAGTCAAGGATGTGCCTGAAGCTTCCGGCGCAAATGACTCGAATGTCCGGCAAGAAGCCCAACGGCCCGCAAAGATACGGAAAACCGATGAAGGCGAGGAAGACAGCAGAACGAGGAGAGCGCGCCTGGTAAGAGTCGCCCAAGAAACAAAGAGCATCATCCCGACGATATTGACGGTGACGCCTGACGCTCCGCCCGATGGCGATAAATATTCGCTCGATAAATTGCCCCGGTTGGATCAGAAGAACTGCCCCAATGTCCGCACTTTGGTCAAAGTTGTGGAAGGAGACACCTTCAACACCGCGATCAACCTTGCCAATGCCGCCCAGTTCCTCGATCATGAGGATACCGAACCTGTCTGTGTCTTGAACATGGCGAACGCGGATCATATCGGAGGCGGTTGGGAACATGGAGCAATGGCTCAAGAAGAAGAGCTCTGTTTCCGCAGTAGCCTCAGCTTCACTCTCAAAAAGCAGTTCTATCCCATCGGTAGCCTTAGTGCTATCTATTCACCGACCGTCGTTGTTTTTCGGGAAGACACGCGAAGACGACATCGCTGGATGGACTTGGGCAAACCTGAGTGGCTCCCCGTAGTCGGTGTTGTCAGCATAGCAGCAGAGGTGGCACCGGCTGTCGTGATTGATGATTCCAAGAAATATCGGTATGCGAATGCGGAGGATCGAGATTTGATCAAGGGTAAGATGCGCCTTGTCCTGCGCATTGCTGCGACCCACGGTCATCGGAGGCTCGTTTTGGGCGCCTTGGGTTGTGGCGCGTTCATGAATCCCAAGCATGACGTCGCGGATTGCTGGTTGGAAGTCATGAAGGAGAAGGAATTCAAAGGATGGTTTGAAGCAATTGTATTCGGCATTGTGGATCCCGGTCATAGAACAGGGAATTTGAGTATCTTCCGAGAATGTCTCGATGGAGTGAAGTTGTGATGAGATACTAGGGATATTTTTATTTTGTGTTTCTCGTGGCCATATTTGAAGTTTAATGTTTCAAGGTATGTATATGAAGACGGATGGAATTGCGTCGCTATAAGTTCATGCCTCTACGTGTAGAAGAAAAGTCTTCATTTTCTGAGGCGCGTGGACCGTCTTCTTCCCTCCTGCTTCGGTTCCTCCTTGATTTCCACTGCATCCTCAGATTTTCTGGATCGCGATCCATGTTTCTTCGATTTGGGCTCCTCCTTATCGTCGTTCACATCCTCCTCCTTTTTAACAGCCGTTACCCGCTTTCGTTTGGTCTCGGTCTTAGGGCTATTGGCATCCTCGTCGCCAATATCTTTAGCAACGGGGCCCGTTTTCTTCTGAACACTCGGCACAACAGCGCTCGTTCTACCTCCGACAGTCAGAAAAACAATCTTTTCGCCATTTGGCAGGGCCGATGGCTTGTTCTTCTTTCCCTTCGCCCATCGATGCTTGAACAGCCAATGCTCGGGAAATTTCTCAGAATCAGCGAGCACATCTACCGACGTGGTACAAACATAATGGATGGAGGAGTGAAGCTGTTTGATCTGCTCATCGTTGAGAGTATTGCTATATTGCTCCGGGTGTATCTTGGCATGATATAAGATCTCGTCACTGAACAGCTGTCAGCTCTTTAGGCTCATCAAAGCGGCAGCATACATCGTCGTGTAGCCCTACCCCATCCAATTACCAATCCCACTAATATTAGCCTGGTCCAGGAGAAGGGCCTTGATGGGAACCTTTCTGCTCTTGAGCTTGTCCGCCAGCCACTCTTCCGTGACGATGTCTTTATCGGCCACCGGGTCCGGACCATTCTCTTTGAGTGGGCTATGTTTGCGGATCTCTTCTGCAGGACAATCCACAAGTCGAATTCGACTTAATCTGCGGAAGTCAACGAAAGCTGCCTCTGTTTTCGGGTCCCCGCCTGTTTCCAGCAGGAACTTCCAATACTTCGGTGGCCATTCTTTATCTTCGGGTTTCTCGACGCGGTAGTAGTATGTGTCGGCGTCTCGGATCTTGAGCCAGCCTGCCATTCCGAAATGCATCACTGCATGAGGAGGCTCGTTCATGATGAGCCAGAAATACTTTCCTTGTTGACCTGCGCTGACGACCTTTTTCCCTTCCATGGCCTTTTGAAATTCAGAGGCGCTGGTCCCAACTTTCCCGTACACAATATCATCGTTCTGAGCGGAAACCTTTGTGAGTGTCTTCCCAACAAGATGTTGATCGATAAAGTGCACGATGCGCGAGACTTCAGCTAATTCAGGCATGGCAGCTGAAGTACCTCTAAAGGACACACCTATTGATGTATATGCAGAATTATTAGTTTAGATGGAAGATAATGTACTTGAGGCCTAATAATGACTATATATGAGGCGTCAGCTCATTTGAACACGAAGTTGTTATATGAGACGCGACGATCTCACGAAGTCCCGTGATCCATAGCTCCCTACTCAATTCGGATTAGCCACTATCGATAAGAGCATCAGTCGTTGGATTGCCGCAACCACCTGCAATATCCAGTCTCATCCTTACGACTTTCGGATTGAAGAGTGTTCGGTCTGCCACATTATTGGACTTGGAAGATCCTCCTGTGTTCGTGTGCTTGAGAGCTCTTTGAATCAAGAGGCTGAACGTCGTTACCATATCCCGCTCTTGTGCCGCTGCACAAGTCAACCTACAGCTTACTTCCCTAGCTCTTGTCTAGCTCTACAAACTGGAGTGGTTTTGGGCTCTTTCGACTTCTGGGAAAGACGGTGGACCTGCACCGTCTAGGGCTGGCGAAATGTCTGGGGCATCATCGACATCATCGACATCAACCCCACAATTAAGTCCTCAGTTCTGCTTCAATGAGAGGGTGCTCTTAGGTACTTGATGCACAGCCCAAGATTCGCGCACATGTATAGCAGAGTAACATCACTGACTTCGCCGTTTCTGGGTCGAACAGATTTTCTGCGGCTTTCTAGGGCGACCATTGATGACTCCATTTCGCAGAATCTCAATGCCCTGGTCACCCCGGCCCGGGAGGGGTTTGATCCCTCGTCGACTGCAATCCGTCAAACGGACTCCAGAGTCGGAAGGCCGATAGATCCCGAAGCATGCCGGAACTTCAAAGACAATGTCCTCTTCCAGTCATGGCAAACGCGATCTGATGTACTGAACTTTTGCGCTGGGGTGGCGACCAGTCCCGATCCTGACGATCCGGATCTTATTCTTCGACAGGAAGAGTCGGCAAAGGAACGGGAAAAGATTGTCGATGAAAGATTGGATCCTTACTCTGCTCGATATTTCCCGAAAGAGCTGAGGACAGAGTCGCTTGCGAACTTGGTTCGGAACCAACGAACAGTGGAAGAGATCATACGAGCGCGAACCTGGGGCGTGGTTACTGAGAGGTGCAGTGACTCGGCTTTGACCTGGGAGGAGGCTTTGAACTATTGGCGCCAGAGGAAGCAACGGTGAGGGTTGTGAACGGCGCCGACAGAGACCGGTATGTTTACGCCGAAAACATGAAGGATACGCCCCCATTTATTATACTGCTGGCACAGCAGATGTTGAGATGATTCGAGATGTTATATCTCTTGATGTATATTTCTGTATATTATACTTGCATATCTCAGGCGTTTGGTATCCAGACAGAAGCTATCTCAGCGCCATTATGACTATCTCAGTTTGTCGAATAACCCTAAAGCCAGGCATATACCCAAAGAGAACAAAGTCACGGTAGCACGACAACGGACTTTGATTCGTAGAGGATTCCCTGGGCGACATATGCACGCAAGCGTCGTCTCGGATACTTATGCTGACTGACACTGGTCAGCCCTCGTTGGTTGAGGGCGAATGCAGCTGGAGAGGGAGGATTGTACAGGCAAGCCATCCATTGTGTTACAATAAATTTAAGCAGAGGAGAGAAATCATCCATTGTCTTCGATCAAGTAAATAGATTGCGGTAGAGACGACGTTGATATTGTTCAGAGGCTAAGAAGAATAATATAAGTGCTCGTCATTGTTCCCGGAGCGAAGAGCCCACTCCCCGCACAACTTCCACCAGCTTTATCTACGCACAAGTAACCTGGCACCTTCAACTCCGCCAACCTTGCACAACAGCCACACCATGCCGCAGCCTTTGAGCTCCAAGGATGCGTCCTCCTTCCGACAGGTGGTTCGCCACTATGAGAACAAGCAATATAAAAAGGGTGGGTTGGGGACCGAATTGAGTCACTCAAAGTTTCCGGAAAGGTGTACTCGAGAAGACTGACTCCGTTCCGTCTTGTATAGGCATTAAGCTCGCCGACCAGATCCTTCGAAAAACTCCTAACCATGGCGATACGCAGGCGATGAAGGCTTTGATCATGAGCAATCTCGGACAACAAGAGGAGGCATTTGCGTTGGCCAAGGAAGCCCTGCGGAATGACATGAAGTCGCACATTTGCTGGCACGTGTATGGGCTGCTGTACCGCGCAGAGAAAAACTATGAGGAAGCAATCAAGGCATACAGATTTGCGTTGAGGATTGAGCCGGAGTCCCAGCCCATCCAGCGCGACCTCGCTTTGCTCCAGATGCAAATGCGGGATTACCAGGGTTACGTCCAAAGCAGGAGTGCGATGCTGCAAGCCCGTCCGGGCTTCCGCCAGAATTGGACGGCTTTGGCGATTGCACACCATCTTGCAGGTGACCTCGAGGAGGCGGAGAAGGTTTTGACCACGTACGAGGAGACGCTCAAGCAACCGCCGCCGGTATCAGACATGGAGCACTCAGAGGCTGTTTTGTACAAGAACATGATCATGGCGGAAGCAGGCAAGGTCGAACAGGCCTTGGAACACCTTGAGACTATTGGATACAGAATTACGGATGTGCTCGCGGTCATGGAAATGAAGGCAGACTACCTTTTGCGATTGGACCGAAAGGCAGAAGCCGAGGCCGCCTACACTGCCCTTCTTGAGCGGAACCCGGAGAACTCCATCTACTATGACGGTCTAATAAGGGCGAAGGGGATCTCAGAAAGCGATCACGCGGCGCTAAAGGCTTTCTATGACGCTTGGGCGGACAAGAACCCTCGAGGAGACGCTCCTCGCAGAATTCCACTGGACTTCTTGGAAGACGAAGAGTTTAAGCAAGCGGCGGATGCATACCTGCAGCGCATGCTCAAGAAGGGGGTGCCATCACTCTTTGCGAACATCAAATCTTTGTACACCAACCCTAGCAAGCGCGATACGGTCCAGGAGCTTGTGGAAAGCTATGTGTCTGGTAATGGGACGACACAATCAAACGGTTCCGCGGAAGGAGAGGCGGCCAAGGATAACACCGAGTTCCTCGCTTCGACTTACTACTTCCTTGCTCAGCACTACAACTACCACCTGAGTCGCAATCTATCGAAGGCCATGGAGTGCGTCGACAAGGCCATCGAACTAGCCCCTAAGGCTGTTGAGTACCAGATGACCAAGGCCAGGATATGGAAGCACTACGGCAACCCTCAAAAGGCTGCCGAAGAGATGGAGAAGGCCCGACTTCTGGATGAGAAGGACCGCTATATCAACTCGAAAGCGGCTAAATATCAACTGCGGAATAATGATAACGAAAAGGCACTTGACAATATGAGCAAATTTACCAGGAATGAGACCGTTGGAGGAGCATTGGGCGATCTTCACGAGATGCAGTGTGTTTGGTATCTTACCGAGGACGGCGAGTCATATCTACGACAGAAGAAACTTGGCCTCGCTTTGAAGCGCTTCCACGGAGTGAACAACATCTTTGACGTTTGGCAGGAAGATCAGTTTGACTTCCATAGCTTTTCTCTTCGCAAGGGCATGATCAGGGCGTACGTTGATATGGTACGATGGGAGGATCGTTTGCGCGAACATCCCTTCTACACCAGAATGGCTCTCTCTGCCATCAAAGCCTACCTTCTACTCCATGACGAACCGGATCTAGCTCACGGCCCGCTGCCTAGCGGACTCAATGGTTCAGGCGACCAAGACGACGCCGAGAGGAAGAAGGCCCTCAAGAAAGCCAAGAAGGAACAGCAACGTCTGGAGAAGATCGAGGCTGAAAAGCGAGAGGCCAGGAAAGCTGCCGCCGCTACTGCGAAGGGCTCTGATGGGGAGACGAAGAAAGAGGACCCTGACCCGCTGGGCAACAAGCTTGTCCAAACGCAAGAGCCGCTAAAGGATGCGACCAAGTTCTTAACGCCTTTGTTAGAGCATAGCCCAAAGAATGTCGAAGCGCAGTGTCTTGGATTTGAGGTGTACCTCAGACAGAGTAAGTACAATCCCTGGGATACCTTTGAAAAATTTGCTAACGCGTTTGACAGAAAAATACGCACTTGCGCTCAAATGCCTTGCCGCCGCTCACCAAATCGACGCAAGCAACCCGACTCTCCATGTTCAGCTTCTGCGCTTCCGCAAAGCCCTTGACAGTCTTTCTGAGCCCCTTGCCCCTGAGGTCGCTGAGGTTGTCAATGCTGAATTCGAAAAGCTGCTGCCCAAATCGCAGAATCTCGAAGAGTGGAACGACTCCTTCTTGTCCGCCCATAAGGAGAGTCCTTTGCACACACAAGCCGTCCTCAAATGCCACCACATTCTGCAGCGCGACTCCAAGGCGCAGTGCGAAAAGGATCTGGTCGCCACGCTTGACTTGAACAATGCCTCCATCGAGACTGCGCTGGCGGGTCTCGAGATTCTGTACGAGTGGGGAAGCGATCAGGCCGCGAAGACCGCATACACCGAAAAGGCCACCAGCAAATGGCCTGAATCGACAGTTTTCCAGCTCAGCTGAGCCACTTCACGATTGATAAGAGGAATCATCCCATCAACCACGTATCACGGCGGTGATAACTGGGGCTAAGGGTCAGTCAATCCCTTGCCTCGGATTCACCCCCGTCTCATCGCGTTGGAAATCGACGGACCTGTGGTTGAGGGCTCAAGGGGACAAGGAATTTATTCCAGTGTAGCGGAAGAGATACAATGTGATTGATGTATGAGTAGGATACTATACTTCTCTTATCTTTTCCTGGGGCCTGAATATAAAAATGAGATACGACTGGCTTGGTACTTGCTTCGTTAGTTTCTCTGATGAAGCTTTTTCCGTCGTTGTCCGGAGAAGACGCATGATCTTGTAACCTATGCGCCATTGATTGTTGACTTTCTAACTCAATAGTATCGAGTATTACCCAGCGGTAGGACGCTACCTTAGCTGTTGACATAGGCCTACCTTAGTGGGCTGACTTTTACTATGATGTCGTACTCCACTAGAAGTCAACGACATTATCATGTAC